GGAATCCCACAGAACCAGCTCTGTGACTCCCACCTGCCCTGCCACGACTTTCCAGGCATCGGTTCACAATGGGAGCTTTCTTCCCATCTGTAACTGTTCAGCTCTTTCGGATCAAGATTCTACTCTGTCCAGAATTCTAGGGTGTCCTCCATCTGCTTGCACCCCAGGAGCTGTAGGCTGGGGGATTTCTGATACTTTGACAGTAGACTGCCTTTTCCAGAACTGTCTGTGGATTCTGGTTGGAAGTCCTCTGGGAATCAGTTAGAAATGCAAATTCTCCGCCCTTGCCCCACCTACTTTCCTACACAGTTGGAATGCTCATTTACAAGATCCCCAAGTGACTTGTATGATGAACTCATCTAAACCAGTGGTTCTTCCACTTGGAAGAGCTTTGGAATCAACTGTAATAATGTGTTGAGCACTGGAGGACCTGATGCAAAGACCATGGTCTGAGGACCTCTACTGTAAACGATTGCAGAGAGGAAGGAACCTTTAGCCATGGCTGGGTGTCACTGGGAACCCTCTACCTTCCAACTCAGCCCAGGCTGAGAGTCAGGACTGCAAATGCTCCACACACACTGGGATGGCGGCCTCTACCTTTTGGTTGTTTTCATAATCGCCATCTGCTTGAACAGAGCCATGAACCAGAGGCAGTAGGGACCCTGCATCAGGGCTGGAAGAAGTGGAATGTGTTCTCCTAACCTTTAAAACAAGAATAGCCTTCATCCTACAAAATACACCCAGATGCACACACAGACACCTCACAGAAGCAGAATAATTCCCAAATAGAAACCTATGCCAATTTCCTGCATGCCAATAATAAGAACGTGGCTGAAATCTGGAAGCAACTCCTTTTGTAATAGCCCAACAAAAAATAAAATACCTAGGAGTTAACTGAACTAAAGAAGTGAAGGATCTCTACAATGAAAACTTTAAAATCCTGAAAAAGGTAATTAAAACAGAACTAAGAAGTGGAAAAAAGCTCCCATGCTCCTGGATTGAGAGAATCAACATTGTGAAAATGACAATACTGTCAAAGGCTATCTACAATTTCAGTGCCATACCTATCAATATCCCAACCTCATTCTTCAAGGAAATAGAAGAAACAATCTAGAAATTCATAAGGAACAACAGAAGACCCCAAATAGCAAAAAGAATCCTTAGCAGAAAGAAAAGTGCTGGAGGAATATCAATTCTAAACTTCAAACTTTACTACAAAGCCATAGTAATCAAAACAGCTTGGTATTGGCACAAGAGTAGACCTGAGGACCAGTGGAATAGGACTGAAGACCCAGAAATGAACCCACAGATCTATAGCACCTAATCTTCAATAAGGGAGCTAAAAAAATAGAATGGAAGGAAGATAGCCTCTTCAGTAAATGGTGCTGGCAAAATTGGTTAAGCACCTGTAGAAAACTAAAGCTAGATCTGTATATATCACCCTGCACCAGAATCAACTCCAAATGGATCAAAGACCTCGAAGGCAAAGGCACTCTGAAAACATTCCAGGACAGAATAGGAGAAACTCTAGGTCTGCTTGGCACAGGCCAAAATTTTCTTAATAAAGACCCAGAAACAACAAATCAAAGAACGATTGGACAAATGGGATTGTATGAAACTGCAGAGCTTCTGCATGGCAAAGGACATAGCAAGCAAGATCAAGAGAAAGCCCAAAGATTGGGAGAAGATCTTCACTAGCCATACAACGGACAAGGGTCTCATATCAAAAATATATTTAGAACTCAAAAAATTAAATCCCCTAACAACAAATCCTCAAAGAAACAACCGCCCAATTAATAAATGGGCTAAAGACTTAAAGAGACATCTCTGAAGAGGAAATAAGAATGGCCAATAGACACATGAAGAAATATTCAACTTCTTTAGCCATAAAAGTAATGCAAATCAAAACAACATTGAGATTCCACCTCACCCCAGTTAGAATGGCTATAATCAAGAAATCTCATAACAACAGATGCTGGATAGATGTGGCCAACAGGGAACCCTACTGCATTGTTGGTGGGAATGTAAACTTGTTCAACCAATTTGGAAAGCAGAATGGAAGTTCTCAAAAGACTCCACATAGAGCTCCCCTATGACCCAGCAATTCCAATTTTAGGCATTTACCCAAACGATCACAAACAAGGCCATACTAAAGCTACCAGCACAACTATGTTTATTGCAGCGTTATTCACTATAGCTAAGATATGGAACATACCCAGATGCCCCTCAGTAGATGAATGGATCAAGAAAATGTGATACACACTCTCTCTCTCTCTCTCTCTCTCTCTCTCTCTCTCTCTGGAATTCTATGCCTCCATCAGAAAGAATGACACTGCCCCATTTATTAGGAAATGGAAAGATTTGGAAAAAATTATATTAAGTGAAGTAAGCCAGGCCCAAAGAAACATAGGTCCCATGCAATAACTTGTATATGTCTAGGACAAGCAGAAGAGGCCAAAAGCTATTGACCATATAACCTGATGCTAAGCAAAATGAACCCCAAGATAGGGACACAAGAGGTTTTATCTTTGTTACTGTGCTTTTTAATGAACCTATAATGTACTGTGTGATTTTTTTTTGTTTCTTCACCCATGGTACAACCCCTGTTGTCACTGTATTTGATTCTAGTGTCCTGCATCTTTTATATACATTTTTCTAATTTGGAGAGGGGAAGGGAAGTAACAAAATGCTGAAATAAGATTACAGGATGACCCACTGTAACAATGATACGTACAAGACAGTATGTTGAATACAAACTTTACAACTTTGGGAGGGGGGAGTTGGAAGAGGGGAGAGAAATGCTGGGGAGGTAGGGAGGAATGGGATGGTAGAGGAAAAATAGAGGAGGGTGTAACAATGCTCAGTAGGAAATGGACTCATTACATTGCTCATGTAACTAACCCCTCTGTACAGTATCTTTACAATAAATATATATAGAGATATCTCTCTCTCTTTCTCTCTCTCTCTCTCTCTCTCTCTCTATATATATATATATATATTCAGGAAAGAAAAAAAAAGAAAGAAATCTATGCCAAAGAAGGACACAGCAGCAATGGCCAAGTAGGGAGGTGTGTTGACTAGAAGAATCCCATTTCACAGCAGGAAGAAGGCCCGCCCTGCCTTCACCAAAAAAAAAAAACAAATTATAAAGTCTCTCATGCTAGCCAGATACCAGGGGCTTACATCTGTAATTCTGACTTACTCAGGAGGCTGAGATCTGAGGATCATGGTTGGAAGAAGCAAGTCCAGACAGACAAGTACAAAATGCTCATCTCCAACCAGCAAGAGGCTGGAAATGGAGATGTAGCTCAAATAGTAGAGCATTAGCCTTGAGCGGAAAAACCTAATGGAAAGCACCCAGGCCCTGAGCTCCCATTATGGGCAGAGATAGATAAATTTATGTAATAACTACACTATAGGTCGAAGTAATAGCCATCATTGTGGGATGTTTTTTTCTGTGTCTGGGAAAGTGATCACAAGTGTTACCTTTGTCCTAGCTAGTAGGCAAACATCATCACCATCTTCCTAGAGTAGATGTGGAAACAAACAACAGAATCATACATTTCACTGGAACTCGCAAGGACAATGTGGCATCCAGACCCATACTCTTAGCCTAAGACCACACGTGGCTGCTTGTGGCTCTGAGCTGATGCACACCCTGGGGTTTTAAGGGGTGTGTGTGTGTGTGTGTGTGTGTGTGTGTAAGAGAGAGAGAAGGCTGCGAATTCCTTCTATGTATTTGCATAAGGATAGGAGACATAATCTTACTTAGAGTCTTATTTTACGAAACATTTAATTGTAGCTCTTCTGAGGGAAGACAAGCTGAGCATCTGACCCTAGGCCCCTCCTATGCCCCACTTCCATATTCGTTCACTTACATCACAGGAACTGTACCTCCTTGGCCTCTGGCCTCCATATTTCCCATCCCTGGAACTGCTTGACCTCTTCATACCCCAGTTCCTTTCTTGGAGGCTAGAATAAGGGCAAGGCCCTGGAGATGTCCTGGAGGGGTGCAGCTCTCAGCAGAAGGGTTCTTTATGGAATAACATAGCCAGGGTAGCAGGGTTTAGTTTTGTTATGGAGACCAGTAGAGGCCCACACTGTGTGTGTCTTGCATGCCAGAGGTCTTGAATTTGATTCCTAGCACCACAAGAGAAAAATTGGGTAGAATGTTGTAGGATCTGCACATCTGGTATTTCCACACCTACAGTCCAGTCTGGGGTGTGTATGAGGGTGAGCATGTGCAATAGCATGGTGAATGGACATTGGTCTAATCGAATGGGTATGTGTTGGCCACACTGGCATGGTGCTAAAGCAGCCTCCACTCATGGAGGTTCCTTGTCACTTGTTGACCCCCAGGGAGCCATTGAAGACTTGGGTCAGAGGCTGCATTCTTCCAGAGACCTCCAGGGTTATGAGGGACTTGCTCTCAGGTCATTGTACCTGCCCTTAGATCACTCAAGTCTGCCAAGTCCCTTCAGATCAGCCCCAAAGAGAACAAGAACACAAACTTCGACTCAGGCTCTGAACCTGTGGAGAGGCAGGAATACAGTAGACCATGTCAGCCTCCTGCTGCCTTTGTCTGTCCATTAAATCAATGGCAGCAGGAAGCATGTGGGTGGGGTTCCCATCTTTTTTTCTTTGTATGACACTGGGGTTTGAACTCAGGGTATCACAGTCTGCTAGGCAGGAACTCTACCACTTGAGCCACATCTCCACATTTTTTTGCCTTATTTTTCAAGTAGTGGCTTTTGCCCAGGGCCAGCCTATCTCTTCCTCCCGAGTAATTGGGATTACAAGTATGCTCTACCATGTACAGCTGAACATTAGATTTTACTAATTAAAAAATCATTACCACTTATCAGTAATTGTTTCCACTTGTATTTCTTGGGCATCCCATACTTGCTTGTCCTTGGAGCCAACTGGATTTTTATTTAAAGTGTATCTTTACAGGACAGATTTACATCTAATACTTTATTGCTTTTTTTTTCTTTGCTTAGTTCCATATGTGTTGAAGAGCTGTGCAGAATTTATAGAGACTCATGGTATTGTGGATGGGGTCTACCGGCTTTCAGGAGTCACCTCAAACATACAGCGGCTGAGGTAAGCGAAGAGAATAATATAGAAGAATTCTCCAATGAGCCTTCTGCTGTCCATCAGATCTGTGTCTGTAGGTGCTAGGGCTACAAGAGACAATAGTCTTACGTATTTTGCATATTATTTTTAACAGCAAAAATGCTGCCATCAGTGTTGTTTTTATATATTCATTATATGTTCTTTAATTATCAATGAAGCCTTTAAAACATTAAGACCATTCTTACTACAAGGTGAATATGTAAGATTTAACACACTATAAACATAACTCAGTTTTGACTCCCTCCTCCTATCCGGTATCTGCCCCTACTTGCCAAATCTTGTTACACAAAAGGAATATAGTTATACTATAGGAAGAAAGCATCCTTTTTACTCTTGCAGAAGCAAAACAGTTTGGCCAGATGCTAGTGGCTCATGCCTATAATCCTAGCTACTGTGGAAGCTGAGATCCAAAGGATCACAGTTCAAAGCCAGCTTGGGCAAAAAACTCGGTGAGACACCATCTTCAAAATAACCAGCTAAAACCAGAGCTAGAGGTATGGCTCAAGTGGTAGAGTGCGAGATGACCAAGCTCAGGATCCTGAATTCAAACCCCAGTACCAGCAAAGAAGAGAAAAAAGAATCTGTTCATTGGAACATAGATTGTTTGTCTGTTTTCCTTCGTAGTGCTGGGAATCAAACCCTGGGCTTTGTGTTTGGTGGACAAGTGCTAAACTACTGAGCTACACCAGGTGGCCATAGATTTTAATGAGTTTCTATGTTTATAATTCCGCTAACAATGTGACATTGTTGTTCAGACAGTACTGCGGTTTGAACGCAAAGCCTCCCATTTTTTGGGTAGGTTCTCTGGCACTCGAGCTATGCCCCCCAGCCCTCTTTCTACATCATCTGTTTTTTAGACAGGGACTCCCAATTTTTTCTGGGAGCCAGAGTCAGACTATAATCCTCCTATTGTGGTTTCCCCATAGCTGAGATGATGGTTAAATGTTACCCTACGCTACTTACTGACTGAGATGAGGTCTTGCTAACTTTGCTATGGGCTGGCTTCCAATGGCGTTCTCCTGATCTTTGGCTCCAGAGTGGCTGGGATTATAGGCATGAAACAGCATAACTAGATTCCACCATTTCTTAAAAGGGCAGAATCAGAATAGAAACTAGTAGTATGCAGTTCTGGAAACAGTGGTTCTCAAGAATCTTGCTACTACCCAGAAACCTTATATTTTACAGCTCCTATTTTTCTCGTGCGTGCGTGCGTGCGTGCGTGCGTGCGTGCGTGCGTGTGTGTGTGTGTGTGTGTGTGTGTGTGTGTACATGTGCACGTGCATGCGTGCTGATCCTGGGGGTTGAACTCAGGACCTGGGTGCTATCTCTGAGCTTTTTCACTCTGCCACTTGAGCCACTCCACTTCTGGCTTTTTGGTGGTTAATTGCAGATAAGCGTCTCATGGAATTTCCTGCTCAAGTTGGCTTTGAACCACAGTCTTGAGCTCTCAGTCTCCAGAGTGCAGGTGTGAGCCATCAATGCTCAGCTAAATTTCTCGTTTTTAAACAGGTTATTAATATGGAGGTGTTGGGAAATGTTTTATAATTAGAAACCAGAGATGAACTGGGCCTGGAGGTACATACCTGTAATCCCATCATTTAGGAGACTGAGGCACGCGGAGGATTGGGAGTGTGAAACCAGCTAGGGCTACATAGGAAGGCTGAAAAAAAGATCCTGGAATCAGATGATGTTCTCAGACTTCCCACTGTTGCTTGCTTATGATGTTTTTAAGCTCGGATATCCTGAAGGAGTCATAATCAAGCAGCCGAGAAGTTTCCACCAGGCATCAAAGAGATAGTTCATTAAAACTTTCCCAAACCTTGGGTTTGAGTCTCCAGATAAAACAGGTTTATTCCCGGAGTCTGTGGAGATGAGTGATAAGGATCTGCCCTACCCTGGTTTGTGTCTGTCTGGGAAGAAAGAAAATTTCACTTGGAGCGGTGTTTTGGAAAAAACTGAAATTTTAATCGGCCTCTTGCAAATTGGTTTCATATTTCCCCAGTGTTTGGAACCAGGACTTGGAGATACAATGCAGTGGGGAAAGACATTTGCCAGTGAGTTTTATGGCTTTGAACCACAGCAGATTTTGCAAAGTCAACCCAGATTGGGAGTGGAAGTCTTCTCCTGGCAAGTCTTACTTGTACTTGGAGTAGAACCAAGATTTAAAAAAAAAAAATAGTTAGGAGGCTGAGGTCTGAGAATCTCAGTTCAGAGCCAACCCAGGTAGGAAAGTCCATGAGATACTTACTTCCAATAAATGACAAAATTAAAAAAGGCTGGAAGTAGAGCAGTGGCTCAAGTAGTAGAGGGTTAGCCTTGAGGAAAGGAAGCTCAGAGACAGTGCCTGTGCCAAGTTCAAGTCCAGGAATGGTGCACGTGCACTCTCCCTCTGTCTTTATATGTGTGTGTGTATGTGTGTGTGTGTATATATATATATATATATATGTATACATATACATGTAGACATATACATATACATGTAGACATATACATATATAAGTATACATACACATATATGCAGATAGCTACGTATATAAGTGTATATTTATGCACATACACACATATGAAGCTATCTACATATAAAAGTGTATATATAGACACACATATATATGTATATATATAATTATATTCAAATCAGTTGAGTGTGGTAGCTTGTGCCTGTAATCCCAGCACTCAGGAGGCAGAGGGTATTGAGTTTCAGTACCTGCCTGGGCTACATAGCAAAGACCTTTTCTTAAAAAAGAAACCACAGAGCTGGGAAAGTGGCTCAGTGGTAGAGCATTTGCCTTGCATGCTTGAGGCCCTGGGTTCAATTCCTCAGCACCCATAAGCAAAAAAAAAAGCCGGCAGTGGCACTGTGGCTCAAGTGGTAGAGTGCTAGCCTTGAGCTGAAGAGCTGAGGGACAGCGCCCAGGCCCAGAGTTCAGGCCCCACGACCGGACCCAAAAAAAAAGAAACCACACTGCCAACCAAGCTAAGATCTGTGATTTGGGGTGGCGGGGGGGCAGTCCTGGGGCTTGAACTCAGAGCCTGGGCACTGTCCCTGAGCCCTTCAGCTCAAGGCTAGCACTGTACCACTTGAGCCATAGCACCATTTCGCCTTTCTCTGTGTATGTGGTACTGAGGAATGGAACCCAGGGCTTCCTGAATGCTAGGCAAGCAACTCTACCACTGAGCCACCTTCCCAGCCCTCTGGGATTGTTATGTCTCATCTGTGTTGTTTCAGGCAGGAGTTTGTCTCAGACCATTGTCCAGATCTGACAAAGGAGGTGTACCTGCAGGACATCCACTGCGTGGGCTCCCTCTGCAAGCTCTACTTCCGTGAGCTGCCCAACCCCCTCCTGACTTATGAGCTCTATGACAAGTTCACGGTGAGTGTTTGCATTTCCACTGTGGTTACGGGTGAGATGCATGGACGGGCCAAGGAGCGTTCTGACACTAAAATAACAATCATAAAACTGACCAGCTGGCTGACATGATCTTCGCCGTGCGGTGAAGGAGGATGGTGTGGGGGGGAAGGGAGGGTGGTAGACACCGTTGGCTCTGTTTTGCCTTCTTGAATTTTGAGTTGTTTGTTTTAAGAGCTGGGTTAGATTATCTCCGTGTTTATAGTCATCTGAATGTGCCTCATTGTAGAGGAAGGAAGCGGAGAACCAGAGAGGTAAAGTAGCCGGCCCAAGGTCACACAGCAAAGGCAAAACAGGAACCTGAGACACCCCCCACACACACTGTTGCTTCACCTCATGCTGCTTCTTTTTTGATCCAGTGGTTCCTTCTGTGTTTCTTTTAGAAGTTGGGGAAAGAGGTGGTGGGCAAAGGGAAGATAGAACAAGAAGATTGACTGGTCAATCAGGGGTACCTAGTGAACACACCTGCAGTCTCAGCTATTCAGGAGGAGGATCAAGATGCAAGACCAGCCCAAGCAAAAGTTAGCAAGACTTCCATCTCAACAAATAAGCTGAGTACAGTGGCATACTCTTGTAAGCCCAGCTACAATTGAAGTAAAATGGGCTGGGAGTATGGCTCAAGTATTGGAGTACCTACCTAGCAAGCACAAGGCACTGAGTCTCAAACCCTAATATCACCAAAAATAGCAAAGTAATCATATTCGATAAGGGATAATTTGGAAAATGGAGAAAAGTAGAAAGTAGCCCTCTGTCTTCTCTTTCCTTTAAGACCAGAGAGAGAGACAGGGTTACCATTCTTCGGTCTTTTTTTTGTGCAGTGTTTTTACTTTCCCAAATCAAAACAAACTGTTACTGCAAAAATTAAAGTAATACAACAAGGTATAAAGGAGAAGTTCTACACCCAGGTATATTAATACTCAGAAAGTCTCTTTGTACCTTTCTCCCTTCATCTCTCCCCCCCTCTCTCTGACACACACACACACACACACACACACACACACACACTTCTATTTCAAGCATATGGCCATCTTTCTTGTTAATAGAGGCATGATTTTTACCCAAGATTCTCTCATGTATGTCATTTCTGAAAGCGATCTGATCGGGTACTTAGGTTCTTGTTTGTTTGGGTTTTTTTCCCAATAGTTTACTTTTCTAAACATTAAAATAAAGACCTAAGGATCAAAGTTCAAAGCCAACAGGACAGGAAAATCCCTAGCACAAAAAGTGAGAAGTAGAGCTGTGATTCAAGTGGTAGAGCACTAACCTTGAACAAAAGGTTGAAGGGACAACACCCAGGCTCTGAGTTCAACCCCCAGTACAGGCACAATAAACAAAGAAACCTTGTAATAAATTATAATGTGCACACATGACTTTCTACTTCTGTCAGTGTCCTTAGAGAAGGCTCACTGGGGTATATTTATTGACCAAAGATTTCCTTTTCAACTTTTGGAGATTTTCAGTGCTGGGGATTAAATCCAAGCCCCCTAGTGTAAACACCTCATTCCTTATTCCCAGAGCTCACAGCTCTCTTTCCTTTGGTTTGTTGGTTGGTTGATCCCGGGGATTTCAACTCAGAGCCTCACACTTACTTGTTAGGTAGGTGCTCTGAACTTGAGCCACACAGGTTCTTCAGTTTTTGTGTAAATTTTGTCATGTACTGCCAAATTGTTCTCTAGAGAGACAGGAAAGCACTTTTCTCTACGGCCTCACCCATGAGTCTCAATTTATTAAATTACTTGCCAGTCTGAATCAACTAAAAATACTGTGTTACTGCTATTTTAATTGTGCATAAACTTGATTGTTCATTCGTTTGTAGTTGTGATCCTCTTATTGTAGGGCAGTGTTCTCTCTCATTAAGATAAAATAGGATATCATTGAGCTAATGAACTGCAGCAGTCTGTTTTTAAGTAATAGTCTATTCTAGTTGATGGTAGAAGTGGTTTCTTGTCTAGAAACTTCAGAAGGAAACAGTTTCCTCTTAATCTTTTAATTTTTGTAATGCTCTCAGTTTTGTTTTGATTTTTTTTCTAAAAATTTGAACTGGAGGAACTATGTAAGAAGAACATAGAAAATACCTTAGAAATTCAGTAGAGAGGTTGTCAGTTGTCGTAATGCTTCTCAAAAATTTTAGTATATTTTTATTGTTATTATAAAGGTGACATACAGAGGGTGACATACAGACAGGTTACGGTTTCATAATTCAGGTAAAGAGTACGTGTCTTTTTGGATGATATCACCCCTTTCCTCTCTCTCTTCCCTCCCTAACCCACCCACAAGTTGTATAGTTCATTTTCAACATAGTGTCTAGTGAGTACTACTGCTACATTTGTTCACCCTTTGTCTTACCTCTTCTGTACCCCTCCTTACCTTCCAAAAGACAGATAAATGAACAAACAAGACATAGTACCTCACTAAAGAAATAAGCAAAGAACTTCAACAGAGAGTTCATAGAAAAAAAAGATATAATTAGGGCTGGGAAGGTGGCTTAGTGGTAGAGTGCTTGCCTTGCATGCATGAGGCCCTGGGTTCGATTCCTAGCACCATATAAGCAGAAAAAGCCTGAAGTGGTGCCATGGCTCAAGAGGTAGAGAACTAGCCTTGAGCTGAAGAGCTGAGTGATAGCACCCAGGTCCAGAGTTCAGGCCTCACGACTGACAACAACAACAAAAAAAGATACAATTATTTTTAAATTACCAAATAAGCTTCTGGCCTGTCATACCAGCTACTGAGGGGACAGCGGTAGGAATATCATGGCTCAACAGGAACAATCAAGGCAAAAAGTAGTAAGCCCTCTATCAAAGAACAACCTGAGTGTGGAAGCTGTCCACCAGGAATCCCAGCTATCTACTAGAGGCTGAGGTAGGAGGATTATGATGTGAAGATAGAAGTGAGACTCTATCTGAAAAATAATTAAAATAAAATGGGCTGGGGTCATCAGAGTACCTATCTAGTTAGTGTTAGGACCTGAGTTCAAACCCCAGTACTATAAATCATGATGATGATGATGATGATGATGTTATTATCATTCATACTGACAAGCTGGTGTTAGACTGACTCTTCCTACTTTTTACTGGAAATATGACTGGTTTGTATATCTCAGAACTCTGTCAGGAGCCCTAATGCACTCATGTTCCTTAACCCAGGAACCCTTCCCTGGCCTCCATTCTAAGGTAAGAATCAGTTGTCACACGAGTAAATGATAGACAATCATCTTCATCACAAGACAGTAGCTAATGTCTGAATTTTGGAAACTGTCTACATGTGTATCAATAGAAAAATTACTGAATGACAAATGTAAAAGAAATGACAAATCAAAACTAGGGTAGCCAGGTAAAGTCACATGCTTGAAGGTATTTCCTGGCCACAATACAAAGTGAAATGGTAAAAGTGGGGTTTGCCAGTAAATGGGAAAAGCCGCTGGTATTCAGGAGCCTGAGGCTGACAGCTTCTCTTATGCATCATGTGTAAGCAGGTCTGTAGGGGTTATTTGTGAGTGGTGTAATTAAAAACAAACCAACACAGGGGGGCGTCAGTGGCTCATACCTATCATCCTAGCTGTTCAGGAGGTGGAGATCTGAGGGTCATGGTTCAAAGCCAGCCCAGGAAGAAAAGTCCCCATGAGACTCTTCTCTCCAATTAACCACTCCAAAACCAGAAGTGGAGCTGTGGCTCAAGTGATAGAACGCTAGCCTTGAGGAAAAGAGCTGAAGGACAGCATCCAGGCCTCACAACTGACCAAAAAAAAATTATTTTCTGCAGAGTTCATGTTTTTAATTTTGATCACATTCATTTGTTTCCTGTGACTACTGTATATAACAAATGACCGCAAACTGGGCATCTTAAACAACAGAAATTTATACAGATCTAGAGACCTGAAAGAAGTCTGAAATCATTCCTTTCCACCGGGCTGTGCTTTCTCTCTCTAGAGGAAAATCTACCCTTTGCCTCTTGGGGCTTCTGGTAGCTTCTGCCATTCCTTGGCTTGTGACTACCTCTTTCCCTTCCCTGCTCCCTGCCCCCTCTTTGGGATCACAGTGTCTTCTGTCTGTGTCATATCTCCAGCTACAGCCTTCTTAAAGCTTACTGAGAGCTGATTTGAGGGTTCATCCAGATAATCTAGGAAAATCTCCAGCTCCTAATTCAATCACATCTTCAAGGATCTTTTTTTCCAAATGAGGTAACCTGTTCTTAGAATTAGAGCTGAGATGCTTGGAAGCAATTGTTCAACCTAAATTCCACTTTTTAATTATCAGAAGAAAACAAAACCAAAACAGCATTTCACAGTTAGCATCTCAGATAAATCTCATTGACCAAGATAGATCCAGTGAGCAAAACTCAGCATTTCATTTTAGGAAAAATTCAGTTTCATTCAGATGAGTCTGGCTGAAATCATTACATGCCGAAGTAAGGGAATCATCACAGGTTCTGCATTTTTAGGGAAGACAAATTAATTATGTACCAACTGTTTCTTCTTGTTAGTTTGTTTCTGCCATTACTGGGGCTGTCTCTGAGCTGTTTTGTTCTTCAAGGCTAGCACTCGACCACTGAGCCACAGCTCCATTTCCAGGTTGTTTTGTTTTGTTTTTGTTTTTTAGAGGTTAATTGGAGAAAAGGGTCTCATAGACTTTCCTGCTTTGGGGAGAAGAGGTTTGAATGTTGATCTTCAGATATCAGCCTCTTGGGTGGCTAGAGTTACAGGCGTGAATTTGTTTCTCTATGAATCTGTCTCCCTAATTAAACTGTAAGCCTCTGAGGACAAGAACTGTATTCATTGTACTCCCTATTGTATTTCTTACCCCTGTTTTCCAGCTACTGAAAAATGGAACTGTTACTCTAGTAAACTCTTGCTGGCAGGTTTATCATCTGAAATGTCACTTGAAGCAAACCCCTGATGCCTGGCTAGAGGCAAAGACAGGCAGGCTGTGAGCTCAAGGTGGCCACAAATGAGGATAGAGTCACTCCCA